TTGCCGTGGACAACTCATTGTTCGTGTTTTGGCACACTGTCTTGATTGGCTTGCTTCTAATGACAGGGTCCCGAGGTTAGAAGTGGCGATTAACTCAGCCAATCGAACTGACACCTGGTCAGGAGTTTACTTTCACAATTCAACGAGGAGTTGGCACTGCGGACTGTGTCAGTGTAAACTATGACGATTTCGTCAATGATGTCGAAGTAGGGGACATGATTCTTGTTGATGGTATAATATTAAAAAAAAAATTTAATTGTGTTTGTTGTTAATTGTGTTTATGATGATGCTTTATTTTTCCGATGATAGTTTACTACTGCTCGTTATTGCAGGTGGTATGATGTCATTAGTGGTAATATCCAAGACTGCAGATTCGGTGAAATGTGAAGTTGTAGATGGTGGGGAGCTTAAATCTCGACGACATCTTAATGTTCGAGGAAAAAGCGCTACGCTTCCATCCATCACTGGTTAGAACAGCAAACACACTTCTTACTTCAGCAAAACGATTCTTCTCGTGTTCAATAACTAAGTTTTTATATGCGTACTTGTCACTTTCGCTTCGACCTGAATAAGATGACCTTTTGCCACTGAATTATAACAGAAAAAGATTGGGACGATATCAAATTTGGAGTTGACAACAAAGTCGACTTTTATGCTGTTTCTTTCGTAAAGGATGCAGATGTTGTCCATGAACTGAAGAATTATCTGAACGGTGAGTTCCGAAACCTATTACAAGGATTAATTGTATGTCTGCCATAATAAGCTGCATCTTTTAACTTCAAATGATTTCTTTATTCGATGCAGATGCTGGTGCAGACATTCATGTCATCGTAAAAATCGAAAGTGCAGATTCCATACCAAATTTGCATTCAATCATAACTGCGTCTGATGGGGTAAGAACATGAATATTATATACCACTTAATTGGGAGAAAACTGTTATTTTCGGCCAACAACACTGCTCTTCCGGTTTGAGTTTAGGGTTATGCGTTATGCCAGCTTAAACAGTTGCTTTCTCTTTCTTGATTCAATACTCCCTTTTATGATTTAAATTTGATGAATACTGATTTTATACTTCAAAATAATAGATGAAAATGTCTTTTCTTTGTTAGGCTATGGTTGCCAGAGGAGATCTTGGTGCAGAGTTGCCAATCGAAGATGTTCCTTTATTGCAGGTAAAGTCATGATGTTTTGTGAAGAAAAACACCTACATCTTCTCTCTGTAATACAACAATATTACAAAGCAATAATTATCGTAATTACAGGAAGAAATTATCAGACTATGCCGTAGTATGGGGAAAGCAGTCATAGTGGCAACAAATATGCTTGAAAGCATGATTGTGCACCCCACTCCTACTCGAGCAGAGGTATCGGATATTGCTATTGCTGTTAGAGAAGGGGCCGATGCTGTTATGCTCTCTGGAGAAACTGCTCATGGGAAGTAAGTAAACCTTCCCTTTGTTTTCGAATTAAGCCAATATTCTTTGTAAGATATATGTTTTCTGCATTAAGGCTTTGCATGCATGCACGATTTAATTCGGTTTCATTCAATGTTAGGTTTCCACTGAAAGCAGCTCAAGTCATGCACGCAGTCTCGTTGCGGACAGAAACTGCAGTAGTTTGTGGAACTCCGTCAAATCTGGGCCAAGCCTTCAAGGTCAGGATAGTCTTTTCTCAATAATTTGTTATTAGTCTATTTTATTAGCGTATGTGCTATGCGATGCACATACGAACACGCACGTAGGCTTGTTGATATTGTTATTTACCGGTGATTTTTTGTTTGCTGCAGAATCATACGAGTGAAATGTTTGCATACCATGCGACAAAGATGTCTAATACACTTGGAACTCCGATCGTTGTCTTCACCAGGACCGGCTTCATGGCCATTCTACTGAGCCATTATCGACCATCTGGCACTATTTTCGCTTTCACAAATGAGTGAGTCATGTGAACTGGTTATATTGAACTCAAATTCCTTTTCAAGATTATCATTAGATACTCACTAAAACTCAGTGAATGTGATTATTTTAATAATTGAATAACTGTTTCTAAGGGCATTTCTAATTAAAGAGGGCCTTTGACATGTTTACATCTCTCATTAATTGATCTTTTTTTTTTTAATGTAACAGGAAGAGAGTACAGCAGAGGTTGGCTTTGTACCAAGGCGTTTGCCCTATATACATGGAGTTCTCTGAAGGTGCCGAGGAGACATTTGCCGATGCTTTGGCTTTGTTAAAGGTAAAAAAAAATACTTGCACTTTTGACCTCCAGTGTAATGTACTAGGCGATAAACGAAAGAAATATTCATATTTCACAACCGGCTTAAATGATTGGGGATCTCTCTCTCTCTCTCTCTCTCTCTAGATGAGTCTTACTATGAATATCGGATAACAATAAACAATATATATTTCCTCACCGTATTCTTATGAAATTGTAGAAGCAAGGAATGGTGAAAGAAGGGGAGCAGGTTGCTCTTGTTCAAAGCGGCAGACAGCCTATCTGGCGGTTCAAGTCCACCCATAATATTCAGTTCAAGAAAGTGTAGATGATAATGCCACTTGGAGATTGATTGATGATGCCATGGTACTATGCAAAGATGGAGTGCATTGATTGTCACCTCTTCCATGCATTTTCTCGACTCGAGTCGTTCGATCGTTTGCACTTTTGCGCAATTACCTTAAACCTTCTTTTAGCAAATTTTTTTTTTAAGAATCTATTGACTCTTTCGTTTTGTTTTCAGCATTTTCCCAATGTTTTTTACTTGGATCTAATCTCACCTAGTTCTTTGGACTTGAATTTGTTAGTTGAATGAAATTAAATTATAATTTATTCTCTCATAAATAAAAGCGACCTTTTCTCTAAGGATCATTATAAAAAGGAGATTTGGATTAGATATCTTCAACCAGTGTCATTGTCAATGATAAAATTATTTAATATTTAATAATAAATTAATAATCATCCACAAATAACGCTTCTGACTTTACTACCATTAATTCAGTCAAATACAGAACACCAATAAGCTAGTCAAAGTCGTAAACAAAGTAAATTGAAGAGGTAAAAGTCTCTTAATATGTTTGATTATTTATATTAAATGTTAAAATATAATTCATTTATTTCCCCCTATTTTATTTTTTATTCTTCAGCGAAAAAAAAATAATAATTAATAAACAAATTTTCCTAAAATCACACACTTTTGACAATGGAAGTACTGTAACCACTTCGATCATCCCAATACTTGGACCACAGCATCACCCCACCATACTTCCTCGATTTCCGAATCACCGGAAGAATCTCCGCCGTCAGCACATCCGCCGGGATGAAGCCGCTCCCGGCGGCCTGAGGCGCCGCCGGAAGTCCAAGGAATATCTTCCCAGCCTTAACAGAACTCGTCCAACGCAGCCACGAATTCTTCAAATTAACCGTATTTCCTGAAGTGTACTGGCATGGAGGGTTATTGTAAAACTGTACCCAAACATAATCGAATAGGCTCGTATTAAGCGCCGCCCCCAATAGACGATCAGGGAAAGGGCACTGCGGCGCACCGGTCACGTACACTTTCCTCCCTCTTCTACTGAACCGTTTCAAAAATTTAACGAGATCGTCGTAGTATAGAGGCGATCCGAGCTCGATATCGAAGTCTATGCCGTCCAGAACAGCGTCTCCGAGAGGCCTGGCGGCGGATCCTCCTCCGCCGCCGAGGAAATTGTGCCACAAGTAGAGAGAGAAATCTCGGGCGTCTTGTGTGGAGGAGAGAGAGTAGTTACCGATGCCTCCACCGATGGAGAGCATGACCTTGATGCCGCGGCTCTGGCAGGCGCGGATTCCGTCGCTGACGACGCGGCAGGAGTTGGTGGATGGGTTGCAGTGGCCGGCGAGGTTGAGTTCGGGGGTTTGGCCGCCGCCGAATTTGTTGAGGAAGGCGATGTTGACGTAGGAGAATCTGCCGGTGGCGCAGGTTTGTGCGAGGGTGCCTTCGTTGCCGTTCTGGCCCCAATAGACTGCGATGCCGCTAGCGGCGGTAGTGTGGAGGAAGGACTGAAGGAGGAGGAGAAGGATCACCGGAGGTATGAGTTCACGTTTAGTTTCCATTTTTGGTGTGGATTTGTAACTTATTGAAGAATCTTCGTTATTTATACAAGTTCTGAGGTTTTTTGAAATATTTATTCCATTTCTATTAGAAAACAGTTTAATTTAATGTAAAAAAAGTTAATGTAGACCAATTAAATTATTGTAATGGCCGTGAAATGGGGAATATTTTGACCAAATTGCCGGTGTCATATATGAAGTCAATGAAGAAATTTTCGTAAATTTATGTAAAGAATGGGTCTATCTATCAACTACTGATTTTATAAGATAACTAATTTATTTTCAATAATTGAATATTCTAATGTTATAAAATATTGAAAATAATTAGAAACCTAACTCACCCAAATACTGTTTTACAGTGAAATACATTCATTAGTACAATACACGAAAAGAAAAAAAAGAATGGTGTCCTTAATATCAGTTATACAGAGGGTAATCACATAACCAGATAAATCAAGTGCATTTCCAATTTCCACTATATCTGTGCATCAGTTGTCTTGAAACAAAGACTTGTAAACAGAGTAAGAAGGGTTTCCGAGATCATTGTGCGCACGTTTATTCCCTGTCATTGGAGTCTCACACACCACACTAAAACTAGGTGTTCGCTTGTCCTTTTTTTTCGATTTATTTAAAAGAGGATCGAACTTACTATTCAATACCTTAGGCTGCTTTGGGGCCCACACTCTCTGCAAATCTCGGGCTCGGGCATTGCTTACGAAAGATGAAAATTTTCTGGACCTCTCCCTCCTCTCCAGAGCTTTATTTAAGATTCGTGTGTACTCGTCCTTTTCGTTCTCTTCTTGAATACTTTGACAAGCATTTGCAAGAGGTTGTGAGGAATCTCCTTCTGTTGAGACTGATTGGTTAGTGTTGTAGGCCTCGGCCTTCTCGTTTACATCATGCCTATCCCTCCACGATTGATTGCTATCCTCGCTATTAAATAGAATACTTGGACTTTCACCCTCGTCACCAAATGGCAGCAAATCCATTTCACTGTATATCTTTTCCACAACTTCTTCAAGTTTGTCCGAATACCTGAACAAATTGATTTCGGGGATTCAGATAGCAAAATAGCAGCAGGCACATGAAAAGAAAATGCTTGATCATTAATTCATACTTAGAAAACAAAGGGGTAAAAGGACTCGTAAATTTACTGCAGTAGCTATTGTCTAATTACATAATTTCTACATTTTCATCTTTCTTGTTTTATATGTTAGAAAAAGGCAGCACCAATGGAAAAGTGAGGATTGAACCAATACGAAATTGAACAGAGTGTTTACCTTGCTTTGATTGTGCACTCAACATAATCATATAAGCTAATATGACCGTGAATTCCTCCTGCAACAAGGTACTGAATAATCTCTAACAGGGAACATATCTGCTTCAGCAGCTTCTTCTTTCTAGATTCTCCCATCACTGTTGAAACATCTGATCGCAGGACCTCTAGTCGAAGAAAAATCTGCAATTCATATCTAGTGCAAATTAAGGAAACAAAATCTCAAAATGGAACTGCTTTCGCTCATCTGACATAGGAATATATAATTACACCTAAAAAGGATACTCTCTGACTATATTTTCGGACGATGAACTGGGATCGGAATCCTGGTGTATCTTCTTCATTTCCTTTGGTGACTTTAGTAGAAGTTCAATTAATTTGCCACCAACCACCTCACTACAATCATCGGAATTCCTCATTGAATGTTGACCTTCAGAATTATTTTCATTCTTGCATTTGTCATGCAACCAATGGATGCATGATTTGACAACTCCTTCCGCCAGATTCTGCAAGTCCATCCCTGATTCCAAACCATGCTCGATTTTCTTAGAGAGGTTGTTGAAAAAGGATTCTGAAGTTTGTGAATTTAAAACAGGCGGAGCTCCTTCTTTTGCTTGAGATGGCTCAGTCAATAAATCATTACAAGCAGATGATTCATCCACGGACTTGGATTCTGGCAATGTTGTTAAGAAACTTATATCGCCTTTGCAAATTTGCTTCATCCAACACTTGAGGAACTTTAGCTTCTTAGATTTTTCAAAGTATTTGGCAGCGTAAAGCTCAAACAAATCAAAATTAGACCCTCCAAAGGCTGCTTTGCAGAAGGAAGTCCACGTCATCCCCTTATACAGATGCATTTGGTTCTTTTTCCTTTTCCCATTTGCGTACTGCTCACAATTATCAGAAGTGGAGGTATCGGTTTGCGAACTTTTATCTCTAGTAGAAACATTACAAGGATCGCAGATAGAAAGGATAGCTAAATGGGAAGTGAAAGGCTTCAAACTACACATAAATGTATCTCCATTTCCATTAGAGATTGAGACCAAGGCGCAGTAACCTTTCATATGAAGAAAACTCAAAAACATTTGCCAGGTAGGTATCTGATTTCTAGAAGTGACTCCATCCATTTCATCATGCAGTGTTTGAAGAACCCTATCTGCAAAGAAGTCATCTCCTTTCTTCTTTTTGTTTTTCTCTATCTCCTGAAAGCACTCTCGTACCAAAACGGTCTCTGACGATCCTATACTCTTCTCATAGCCTTCATATGTATGAACACTCTTAACATGCAGTTTCATATTTCCTTTACCCAAACGACCCCAGAGCTTATCTTCATCATGCAAACTCTGCGAATTTCTAGATTCGTCGGAATTAAAAATATCATCAGTATCAATACTAGCAGGCAAACTGTTTAAGCTCACAAATTCAAGATCACAGAACTTGCATTCTAATGGCATCCCATTGACACCCAATATCTCAAGATTCAATTCTCCATTATATTTTATCTTATCATAACCACCAATATCCAAGAAGTCAAACGGGAGCCCGATTTTTGGATAGATCAGCGCTAAAGGCATTAAAGCCGAGCCGAGAACTATAAAATTACTAGAGCAAAATCCCCATCCCATTTTGCTAATGCCATCCCTTAATTTAACTAATTTATCCCCACTTCCATCTTTCTTCTCCTCAGCCCCTTGAATATCCAATTCATCACTCTTTACATCTACCCAACACAAATGAATGTCCCTGATAACAAATGCCTCCTTCACAACAGAAAACACCTCATCTAACTCACGCAAATCCAAATAATCAGCCAAACAATTAATTGATTGACTAATAGGCGAAAGCAAAATAACCAGGTTAGAAGGAATTTTCGTAAAACGGCCATCAATTGAATCATCCTCACCTAACAGATTATCGTTTCCAGTGTCCCACGCATAGTCGTGAATTAACTGAAGTAGCGAGCTCGCAGTGTACGAAGCCCGAGATGAAGAATTTGGCAGATCGGCGATGGTAGAAATGGAATTTAAGGTGGTGGAGAGGGAATCTAGGGTTTGGGAGAAAAGATTGAAGCAGAGTGAGGAGGTTGAGAGTTGGCGAGGGAGAACAGCGGCGGTGCGGAGTGGAGAAAGGGAGGAGAAGAAGAGTTTGAAGGCCGAGAGGGAGGCAGAGAGCGGAGGAAAACGAAGGAGGCGATCTGCGGCGGAGGTGACGGCGGAGATGTAGGAGGAAGGGTTTTGGAGGGTGAGCAGTGGGTGGAGGTCTACGAGGAGGACTAAGCGTTGGGTTTTGGAGAAGTGTGACGGTGGTAGATTTGCCGGCGCGATTGTAAATCGTTTCGGCATCGTCGGCGTTACGTGGCGGCGCAGGAGAGGGGGGGGGGATTTTGGATCGCAGACAGGGGGCGGAAATGCTAATATGCGCCACCAGATCGGGTTTTTCGGGGTTTGAGCGGGAAATGAAAAAAGTATAAGGCGGGCGATTTCAAAATAATGTGCTTTTTAGCTTTTAAGGGTATGGTATGATTTGCAAATTACTTGTCGGCCCATGATATTTTTGTGTCTTCTGAATTGACCCCTATAGTTTCTTTAATTTTGATTAAGAAGTCATTAAAACGTTTTTGGTCAAGAATCGTGTGGAATGAAACACTACCCCACACGACGACGTATTGAACCCTATCTTCATCTTCTCCAGTTACCTGCATGAACTCTGAGCACATTGTCCCTTCAACCTTCAATTTCATCTCAAAAGACAAACAACAATAGAATCAATCAGCCAACAGGAATATATTACAGATAAATAAAATTCAAAATGCCCACACTTTCTACCTTTAAATTTACAATTATTCCACCTCCACCACTTTCAATTCCGAGATTAATTTCCTCTGCAAGCGCTTCAATTTTCCGAAAATCCCCAGCTTATCCCCATTATCTCTCCTCAATTTCCAGTTCAAGGAAAACCCTAATTCACTGCAAATCATCGGAAGAAGAAGCGAATGTTTCAAAAGCAGAGGATGAATGGATGCAGAAGTTACCAGACAAAAAGAAGGCGTTGTATTCCCACAGTTTGCCTTGTGTAGAAGCATGGCTGAAAAGTCTAGGGTTTTACCAAAGCAGAGATGATAGAGCTGTTTGGTTTGTGGAGAAGCCTGACTGGCAGGCGCATCTTTCACTTGATGTCACTGATTTGTACATAAGGTTTCCGATTTTAGATTTTGCATTTTTGTTTTTGTTTCATTGCATTTGGTTGCTATGGTGTGTGTGTGTGTGTGTGTGTGTGTGTGTGTGTGTGTGTGTGCCGGATTATTCAACTGGTGGTTTATCATCTTGCATTTTGCTTGTTTATCGAATCGGGTACTTTAAATCGAAGTTTAAACTTTGATGAGTGCTTTCTTAGTGTACGAAATGAAGCTGTTTTGGGAAGGCCAAACGTTACTCAGATTGCCTAACTAAGAAATCCCAAATACGAGTTTTGTTCGTAGTGTTTATTACTGAGATCAAATTTTAGTTCGTTCTTGATTTTACGTGTTGTTTGCGCCAACAATTGCAGGTATCTAAAGAGTGGAGCAGGCAGTCTTGAAAAAGATATGGAACGGAGATTCAGTTATGCGCTGAGTAGAGAAGATATCGAAAACGCCATTCTTGGTGGACCTTGAGCCTCGTATCCAGTTAGTACTAAATCTTCGAGTCTCGGTTTTTCTATGACCGGTTGAGTGAGAGCTCTAAATTACCTTGTGTTTAAAATTGTTGTTTTATTACTAGAATACTCATGTATAATCATCTAAATAGGCAACTTATATTATTATTATTATTATTATTATTATTATTATTTTCGTTTATATATTTTCTGGTGTTGTTCCTCTAGCCGAAATTGAATTTCTGTCAAATGCAAAGGACTTATAATTTCATAAACGTAGCTATACATGGTCGATAACTCTGCTCGAGTTTTACTACAAAACTCAGGGTTTACTTCTAACAGTGCTGCTAATCTTTTCCACCAATCATATAGGTTTATTACACAAGATAATAGGGCAGAAAAATAGTGCAGCTCTTTCTTGAAATAGACTAGCTAAGCTAACTAAGTCATCTCAACTTGTGATTCTGCAGATTGATAATGAGACCAATATTCCTTCACAAGCTGCCCAAACAATGAATCTTCTCTGTTTATTAGCTTCATCGGTTCATCATATTCCACCAGTTTCCCTGTTTGAAAAAAAAGAGAGTCGAAATTGCAACACTTTAGTAAATTTCTTGCCCGAAAGAAAAGTGACGAACGGATGATGTAATAAAACAAAAGACTCACCATCACTAATGGCTAGAACCATCGTAGAGTCCATCACCGTAGGTATTCGGTGCGCCACTGTGATCACAGTACAATCTGCAAACTCTGTCCTAATAGTTTTCTGCAAGATTGAATCTGTTGCGTTGTCGATGGAAGCAGTTGCTTCATCCAGTACCAAAATCTTGCTTCTCCTCAATAAAGCACGGCCTAGACAAAACAATTGCCTCTGTCCCATGCTCCAATTCGATCCATCTTCCACAACTGTAATAACAACAATTTTACATAAATTGAAATCCCATTTCCAAAAAAAAAAAAAAAAAAAAAAAAATCAAGGCTTATTACCAGATGAATCTAATCCATCTTCCTTCTCTTGAACAGCATCTTTGAGCTGACATTTCCCTAAAACCTTCATATTACAACATATTTACGTTATTATATTATATTATATAGTCTGAAACATATGAAACGGAAAGCAAACTAAGAAGGTTATTACCTCCCATATTTCCTTGTCGGTATGTTGAACCAATGGATCTAGGTTGTACCGCACGGTACCGGTGAAAAGAGTAGGGTCTTGAGGTATAATCCCGAAACGAGACCTCAGATCATGAAGCCCTATTGTTGTTATATCAATTCCATCCACAAGAATCTTCCCTCCGGAAGGTTCCACCAGACGAAACAGAGCACCAATAAGAGTGGTCTTCCCACTCCCGGTTCGACCAACAATTCCGATTTTGTGTCCTCCTTCGAATGTGCAGCTAATCCCACGTAGAACAAGTGGTGCATCTTGTCTGTATCTAATCTGTTTTCAACTTAACACTGTTTAGTATGTGAACTAGTCCTACTGGTGGAGATTGGAACGGAATTTCCAATTTCCACCGAATCCGTTCCGAAATTTTTCAATTTTCGGAACATTAATTTCATTCTGAATTCCTAATATTCCGAATCCGATCTTTCCGTTTTTTTTTCTCGATCGGAATTGGAATATATATGAAATTCCGATTTCCGATTCGATTTTAATTTCCGAAAATTATTCCAAAAATTCCAATATTTTCCGGAAATTACACTTATAATATTAATATAGTTATGCATTTTATATTTTAAGTTAATTAAAAAAAATAGAAATTTACGATTTACGATTTTTTTTTAAAGAGAATTGGAATTAGTTCTTCACTTCCGAAAAAAAAAATCAGATTTTTTCCGAAAGTACTAATTCTTATATGATCCATCCGATTTACACCCCTAAGGCCTATGTTAGACTGAAAGAACTAATAATGCAATTGAAAAAAAAAAATTACCTGCAAATTTTGAATCTCTACTTTACCCTCAGAAGGCCAATTCACAGGGGGGCGATTATCTTCAATAACTTCAGGCGCTTCACTTTGAATGTGCATATACTGATCAAGTCTTTCTACAGATATAATATAATTTGCTAACATGCACTGGTTGTTAATCGAAAACACGAGTGACATGTTTAATGACAGGCCATACGACAGAGCCATTCCAATAAATCCTGCACCAACAATTCAATGATGGTAACTCTTTATGTAAGTAGATGATGATAATAATATTTATCCAAAATTAGTGTCTATCAATACGTACCGGAGCTAAAAGTTCCTGGAGGAAGTAAAACCATGCAGAGTCCAGCAAAAGCAAGAACTGCTGCACTTAGGGTTTCCAGCCTTTGAATCAACCACTCGTTCGCTGAAAAATAGTGAAAGAAAGGACTTCCGTTTTGGTCGATAAGTTCAAGATTCTTTGCGGAAAAACGATCCTCTTCTTTGAATGCTCTGATGGTGATCGCTCCAGCTACAGATTCGGCGAGATGGTTTGCCACAAAAGATTTTGTGGTCCCGTTTATCCTCATCAACTCTTTAGCAGACGAGAAATAGTACTTCTGCAGACATGTCACACAAGAATCTAATAAAGTATTGAAAAATAAGATCCATATTCTTGCAACACTGATTTGCAAAAAATACCTGTAAGCGAATAGCCAAACAGATCATTGGCACAGAAACGAACAAAACTTGCCATGTAATAACAGCCAACACTGCAAGGTTAGTATAACAATTCGTGGTTGATCCAACTGTGAATACCAAGTTGAAGGGTACATCTAGATCAACAATACTCAAATCGGAAGACACCTGTACCAATAATTAACCATTATATTTACAGATAATTAGAGTATGATAACTTATATTCGATAGAAAAAAAATTAAAAAATTACCCGGCTCAGTATTCTGCCCAAAGGTGTAGAGTCATAAAACGACATCGGAGCATGAAATAGAGAAATCAGAAGCTGTGAAAATAATGCTCTAGATGACTGCATGCCCAAAACAACTGTAAATAGTGTCCTCGTCAGCAAAAACAGTGACGAAACAACCCCGATCAGTAAATACACGAGAATTAACTTCAACGTGCTAAAATGTGGATCATCCACGTTTGCTGCCATCCAAGAATTCTGTAATATCTGACCAATGACGAAAGATAAGTGACAGATGGCAGCCACTGAGAAGGTCAAAAAGCCCCGGTTCTGTTTTAAGTACAGAATGTACGGCTTAAATCCTGTATCACCAACTTCCCTCTCTTCTTTCTTTATTAACTGATCACCTCCAAACGTTTTCGATTTCTTCTTCTCTGTGTAAGTATTGCGTATCTCTCTCGAAGA